CAGCATAGTCGTTCTTGGAAACAGAAGACTGTTACTTTTTAGGGCAGTGATATTTTTGGTCTTGTGTTTTTTGATTGTAGATTTTACTACTTCATTTTATTCAGATCTCCCTTTTTTAACCTTTTTCATGTTCCAGTCTAGCCTTCCTAATCAGTGCTCAGTCTAAACATACCATGGTCATACATTATTAGTGGCTACTGTCACATACTGAGTCGATAGCTTCCTGTCACAGAAAATTACACTAAATTAAGGGTAACTTGTCCACTGATATGCTCTAGGATTCAAATGTGCCAAAATGAGGGCATGTATATATTGGAAATGTGATGGTTTATGTTTTTCACTTTGATTTCTCTTGGATTTATCCACTTGATGCTCTGACTTATTGGGCTCTTATTTTTAGAATTTTTACCTATTTTTCAATGTGAAGAAAAACCACCTATTAGACAGGTAACTAATTCGAAAAATGTTTTTTAGTACCCACTTTCCAAAACTGTTTGACAAATTTGAAGTGAATTGTGGAAGTAGGTAAGCAAGTGTCAAGGTTCCAGTCACATCTTGAAGTTAACTTGAAAATTCAATTGAGGAATTACAGTTATTATCATAATTCAGTTTAGATATACTAATGACTTGGGATGCTTTGATATCCATGTAAAATATCACCTTGTTACTGTCAGATCACCAGTTCAACATAAAGAATTGATTACACCTGGGTCGGCACAACCCCAGGCACAGCTAAAGGCTGGGTGGAGAAGAGATTCAGAGGACTTGGGGGTGGTGATTGATGAGAAACTCGACATGAGCAGGCTTCAGTGTGCGCTTGCAGCCCAGAAACCAACAGTATCCTGGGCTGTATCAAAAGAAGCGTGACCAGCAGGTCAAAGGAGGTGATCCTGCCCCTCTACTCTGCTCTTGTGAGACCTCACTTGGAGTATTGTGTCCAGTTCTGGTGTCCTCAACATAAAAAGGACATTGAGCTGTTGGAGCAAGTCCAGAGGAGGGCCACGAGGACGATAAGAGGGCTGGAGCACCTCCCGTATGAAGACAGGCTGAGAAAGTTGGGGCTGTTCAGCCTGGAGAAGAGAAGGCTGCGTGGAGACTTTATAGCAGCCTTCCAGTATCTGAAGGGGACCTACAAGGATGTAGGGGAGGGACTCTTCATTAGGGACTCTAGTTATGGAACAAGGGGTAATGGCTTTAAACTTAAACAGGGGAAGTTTAGATTAGATCTAAGGAAGAAGTTCTTCACAGTGAGGGTGGTGAGGCACTGGAATGGGTTGCCCAAGGAAGTTGTGAATGCTCCAGTCGTGGCGGTGTTCAAGGCCAGGCTGGACAGAGCCTTGGGCGACAGAGTTTAGTGTGTGGTGTCCCTGCTCATGGCAGGGGGGTTGGAACTAGATGATCCTTTCCAACCTTAACTATTCTATGATTCTATGAGTCTATGATTTAATCTTTAAATGCTTATGCATGGAGGCTTACGTTGAGTTGCAAACAGGTTTTGCTTCATCACTTCTTTAGCGCAGGATGTGAGGCGAAATTGTAGCAGAGACTGTAGCTACTGCCTCATTTATACTCATCCGTATTACTCAGAAAGGTTAGAAATCTTTCTCAGAATTAAAGCTTAGGTTTTCTGTAATTTAAAGACACTTGCCTTACATGCACACAGGGAAGGAGGATTTTCAAGCTTCTCTATGAAGACCAAATAGAAAATTTGCCAGGTTTGGAAATTTGCATTTTCTTCTTATCAGAGGAACACAACGTGAGACTGTATTCAAGATCTTTAATGCATGTGTGGCATGTAGGAAAGAACCAAGAATGCAAACTATGAAGGTGGTCCTTACTGCATAGGAATAATGTGAAATTCTGCTGCAGAGAAAAGTAATTTATTAAAACAAAACCAAAACAGAATAACAAAAAAGAGCCATTGTCTTCATAATCTGATTATAAATTTTCCCTAAATTTGAACCAAATTATAGGAATTCACTGCCTGCTTCTAGGCTTGGCAGGCAGCTTGTTTGTTGCCATATAAGCTATTTCTCAATGATACAAATGGGAATTTGTAGAGGTTGGGTGTCTAAATACTTCCAAAGATCTGGGTTTCATCTTTAGAAGTGATAGTAAATGGTCTCTATTAAAATTATTATCCCTTCCACAGCTGTGTAAAGGTCTTCGGATGCTTTAGGGGCTGCTGACTAAACTGTGTCTGTCTTGGTGATGAATAGGAATGTATTACGGTTGCTCAGAAGGAAATCAGAATGCAAATCAGACACTAAATCAAGGGCCACTACCGAGAAGAGAATGAATGTGTTTGTTTTCTATTCTAGAAGATGGAGAACAGGAGAGTCTTCAGTGCAATTGTGCAGTCTCTAATGAGATCCTACAGGAAATGATCTTAACCTCCAAGCACTGTCTTCCAACTCTATTCTCTTTTCCTGGCATCTCGTAAAGGATGGTAGTTTTCCTTTGTATCTGTTGACTATTTTGTTAATAAAGGTCCTTTTCTTGAATGTCTCAGCTAAGAAAAGTTAATTATGTTCTTCATGTTGTGTAATGAGTGAGTGGATGGATTGGGATGGGAGTGACAAAGTTATGAAACTTTGAAGCGTGGTTGGTGTTTTGCAAAACTTGTGGTGGTGGTAGATTTTTGCATTAAAATAATCCAAAATTAGGATTTGCATACTCAGTCTGTACAGAGGAAGATTACAAGTTAATGAGTAAGGGTTAATAGTGAGTGAGAGAAACTGAATGATAGTGCTGAAGATGACAAGGAACACAAAGAAGAAAGAAAATTAAAGCAGATAGGTCAATAATTGAGGAAATGAAGAAGTAGTCAACCCAAACTGTTCTGGCCAGGGAGGAGGATGTAAAACTGGTGGAATAAAAAGGCAAAGGAAGTAAAGTGAAGTTAGGATTTCTTCTAACAGTCAAATAAATTTAAGTGACTTATAGATTCACTGTGTATGTTGACTGCATAACTGCATAACTTTACTTTTAGCTGTAAAGTTTGGAATGGTCTCAGTCATGTATGACAGTGAGGGTGTTTCTAATGTCAAACCTAAACTAATATGTTTCCATTACTATGTCTTTTGTGTTTATAATATCCCTTTCCTAGAAGTTAAATACTTATTTTAGCCTATATAAGAAGTTTTGATAGATTTTAAGGCACAGAGAACACTATGAACTTTAATTCATTGTCTAGAGAAACCTCTCAGCAGCATTCATTTAGTGAAAATGGTATGCGTATTTTTAGAAAGATTAGTGAGCTTCTCTCTCAAAACTTGATTTCTATCTGAATACAGGGGACATTTTAGTGTCTTTTCATTCAATGTGGTCTTGTTTTGCTGAAAACAGGAGGATTTTGTTTCTTTTATTATGAGGAAGTGAGAGGTTGAGAGAGTTGGAATTGTTCAGCTGGGAGAACTGCATTGCTGCTGGGTCACGTTAAGCTTCTTAACAACTAACACCCTCAAGTCCTTGATCTCAGGGCTGCTCTCAACCCATTCTCTGCCCAGCCTGTATTTGTGTTTGGGATTGCCTTGACCCATGTGTAGGACCTTGCACTTGGCCTTGTTGAACTTCATGAGGTTTGCAAGGGCCTGCCTCTCAAGCGTGTCAAGGCCCTTCTAGCTGACGTTTACTGCTATTAGAAGCATTTTAGAAATATCATTTGACAACATCAGAATCCAGCAGTATTTTCTCTGTGGAAGATTTATGTCTGGTGCTCCAAATAAAAAATTCTGCTGCTCTTCTGTACCATACATTTATATGGTTGCATTTCCTTTTGGCTTTAGAAGGGCCATCTTGTTAAAAGCATGTAACCAGTTTTATTAAAAAAAAAAAAGGAGAGGAGGAATTATTCTCGGGCAATATTACCCCCCAGGCCTCCCATTTTCTTGGAGAAGGGTTTGTTTGATCAGTCTTGGGCTATAATTAATTTAAATATCTTCAAAGCTATTTAGAAATGCTGAGGTTCTCCCAGTTTTACTCCCTGCCTCTATCACCTTGGTGTGGCTGGGTGCATATGGCAGGTCTCCTTTTTCCTATCAATTTGCATTCAATTTCCACGACTAACTGCAGTGCAGGGTCTCTGGTGCATGTGGGAGGAGGTGTGCTGCTTCCCAGACAGGCGTGGTGGAAATGACCTGGACTCTTATGTTTTTGTGTGCTTGGAAGCATAGGAAAAGCTGTTGGGTCAGTATGTGCTGCACTTGGAAGGAAAGGCATGCCTGTAGGTTGCTGTTGTTCAGGAAGAACTAGGAATCTCTGATGAGATTATTTCAGCTATTTTGTGGCAAACATGATGGGTAAAAAGTAAAACTGATAGTAAAAAAATAGTAATTTGAGTTTCTAGGGAGTCATGGATGTAGTCCAGTAAGTACTAATTCTGGTCAGGTTTTTGTTGTGGTTGTGTTGTGGTTCCCCGAAGTCTGAACCACATGTAGGTGTTGTGTTACAGGGGAACTTTGAACACTGATACAGAACTCTTCTAACAAGCCTTAAAGAGCACATTAAGAAGTTCCGTAGTGCATAGATGTTCTGGACCAAATGCCCTTTTTTTTTTTTTTCCCCCCAGCAATCTTTACCATGTTTTATGTTTGCAGGTAATCAAATCTTGATGTTTACATGGTTGGGTAACAGACTGTCATTTAAAATGCTATTTTCATGTTTTTAACTGGACTGAGTTTAAATTTTCTCTGTTTTGTTGTACACAGTAGATCTGCAGCTTAAATCATACTAAAAGGTAGCTAAAAATGTTAAATCATTTTGCCCTGTATTTCCTTTGAACTAAACATTCAAGCATTCTGAAAACTCACGACGAAAAAATATTTCAGTTATTATTGATACTTATTGATTATAGTCATTGATACTTTTCCTGTGATTATTTTTCAATGAAGATGAACCTCTGAATCTCAGCATGTTGCTTTGAAATGGCTAAGTTGTAAGTGTATATATACATATACGTAAAATACTGTAAAATTTGATTATTTTTCATAGGGAAATTTTTACCTTTGAAGACAATGTTAGGACCAAGATATGACGAACAGGTTGCTGAAGAAAATCGTTTTCACCCGAGTATGTTATCCAACTACTTAAAGAGTCTGAAGGTAAAGTTACATTTTCTAGTAACTGAAACATTAATGTTAATGCAACTGTTGCTTTTCAGGTTTAAGAAAGAAGTTGTTGGTGGCTTCCTTTGGGACATCTGTACAGAATATTTTTTTTGTTTACTTTTTCAGGTTTTATCTGCAAATCCTGAATTTCCAAAAGTACTTTCTTACAGGCAAGAACTGTACAAAACCCTCCAGCTCATTCATTGTATTAGCAGCAAGAATCTCACTTTACTACTCTTGCATTTTGGCGAGATATCATTGTCAAAATTCAGATAGTCTAAGTTTGTAGTTTTAGAAATGACTCCTGTATGGATATGTGAAGTTGCAATTTTGCTGAAGGAGTGAAAGCATTTGAAAGCAACATTAGAACTTCACACAACTTCTGTAGTTTCAGTGCATTATTGTCTTCTTTTTATGCATAGAATGCTTTATTGTATCAAACCTATCACACCCAAGTATGGAAGAAAACAATTTATGGATTTTATCCAGTGACTTCTTAGTGGAAAAACAAAATGCATAAATAGGAAAAAAAAGAAAAAGGTGGGGAACAGGACCTTTCCAGCCTTTCATGTGGGTGTATGAAGTGTTGTGCCCAGTCCAGTGCATCTGGAGATGTGCAAAATGGGATTTTGAACCTGCCAGGCAAAAAAAGGTCTGCAAGCCTACAACCTATTTCTTTTAATCTGTTTATTAAACTGCTATATAGAATGATAGCACTGTTTTGTTTTTACTATGTTTTATAAAGCTAATAGTGCTAGTTCTGTGGATTTTGTTTGCTCTATTTTGTTGCCATTGATCTAAGTTAAATTAATTCTGAACTTCTTTAATAATATCAGAGCTTAAACACCAGAAGAATTAGGTGACTAAAACATAGGAATCTTAGTTTTATGAATCTCATTTAGGCTTAGATATAAAGCAGATGGTGAGCTACTCGGTGTAGCAGCGATAGAAGCACCTGTGGGCCAATGTGATAAGAAAATACTATCAGTGAAGCATACGTGCCTGTTCTCAGGTGCTTGAACTGGTAGGATTTTTCTTTGAATTCTTGGATCTATGCATCTAAATTCTACCTGAGTTCCTTTTTTATGGGTTTTGTTGGTTTTGACTCTGACCAGCTTTAGTGGGCATACCTAGAATTTCCAAAATCCGATCTTACTCATAGTTTAAACTAATTTAAAATTCTGCATATGTTTTGAAGTTACAGAGAACTTGGGAGACTTATTCAGAGTTTCTTACTATCTGCTTGTTAGTTACTCGCCACCAAAAAAGAAGTTATGACGAGCCTTCATAGCCCTTCCACTAGGCACATCAATCAGTTCTATTGCAATACTACAAATTTGTAATATCTTGAGTGACATCAGATGGTTAGAATCTGATAGTACAATTACTAGCATGAGGATCCCCACTTGTATTTTGATTAACAAGCAGAACACAGAATTTTTCTTAAACTCCCTGTTCTTACTCTGTTTTGTTGTCTTGAACCTTGGTATTGTTGCTAAATGTTTGCTATCTTAAAACATATGATTTTTTTATTTGCTGAGATATGCAGTGGGTTACTGGAGTACTATATTGGTAGAACATCAGTTTACCAATGATCTAGCAATAAGGTGAATGTGCAATTGAAGAGACCTTGAAAAATGGATTTTTGTAAGGCAAAAGTAGCTCACAGTGCATGGTTCTCATCATTTTACTGCAGTGTGCTTTACTGCTAATACTTTGCAGAATTAATCACTTCTGAGACCTCGTTATTACGTAAGAATGTATAATTTATCTCCCAAATAAGAGACTTCAGCAGAAACTTCTACATCTAGATTTTGGTAATAGTGAGATATTACTACTACCATAGATTTTTGAAGGTACTGGTTCAACATTTAAGATAGCATCTGTGTAGGAGGAGCTTTCTCTAACAAGCTTCATGTGTGATTCCTTTTTCTCATGGAGCTGGTTGCTGAAAACCTGAATGTTAGAAACTGATTTGATAAGGGATAGCAATCCTGGTTTTCTTCTGATTGCCAATATTAACACAGTATCTTAATAAGATACTCAAAAAAACCCCCCAGAATTGCAGGAGCAGTTTTTTTATTTCTTACGTATGTACTCTAGTACTGTTTATACTTCATAAAAGGTAGTTTTATTTCTGTTACGAAGAGCTAGGAAGGACATTAGTTAACTCAAAAGAATGTTTGGACATTTAGTATGCTCAAGTTACAGTATTCCTATTAGGAAAACTTGTTATCACTTGTCAGCCACATTATTGTTTTCACAGATAAATTCAGTTACTGATTTAAACTATTTTCTTTCCTCAAATAAGAAATGCAGGAAAAAAATCCTGGGACTAGTGGGAATTCAGTGTATTGTAGTATGTTCTCTCCCTCCTGGGGAGAATGTTTTCAAGTTCCAGTGTCCAATAAGAAACTTCTGGGGTCATACAAGGGGAACCTAGCTAAGCCCGTTTAATTGCACAGCAGCAGAAGAGCACATGCAGAAGGCATTAATAGCTGGAGATAGCTGGAATGTGGGAAAGTGAGGGGGAAGGCTTTTGTAACTGCAGGAGGACATGCATAGCCTGGGCAAAGTATGAGCAGAATTAATGTGGCATGAAGATCTTGGTATATTGTATGTATGAGAATTTCAAGATATCAATGAACTTTTTTTCCTTCTATGCAGTCATCTTTTACCATTAGAAGCAAGAAAAATAACTGGTTTCAATTGTGTTTCAGTGTGGTGTCTAAGATCGCAGTATTGCAACAGCCCGTGTAAGAAATGAAGTGTATGTTTTGGTGAGAAGTTGCTCAAGAATTTAAAACTATTCTTTCTTCCAAAGCTGTGTCATTCATTGGGTATGGTGGGCTGAAAGATGTGTTCATGTGAAACATTGGCTGGAGAGACATTTTTATTTTCCATTTTAGCATACATTGTCTTTCAAAAATCAATTTCTATTAAGAACTTTCTAGGACCAAACTTAAGAGAGCATGACTGAGAGGATGACTGTGATGGCTGGTGTGATGTCAGGGTTTCAGAGCAGAGCAAAGCACCTCTGTGATGAAAATATATGTACTAGAATCTATTCTGCAAGAGAGAATTCTGGTTGGTCAGGACAAGCTAGTTCAGTAACCAAAATATTTTGGTTCCCGTGGTGCCATGGGAATCACATGGATTTTTGGAACATCGTAACTGTGCACTTTGATATATTAAATAATCCCCCTGCTTTTTTAAAATTTCTTTATCCTTTTGCCTTGCACTCTAAATTGTAGCATGTTATGTGCAGCTAACCCCGTGAACTGAGACAGCAAATGTTTATGCTTTGTGGAAGGCAAGGAAACTACTTTCAGGCCTTATACACGCTATATGCCATACATGCTTTTATAGCTTTGGCTAGATTATATCTGATGCCTGCTTCGTTGACTGCTCTGAAATGTGTGAGGAACAGTGTCACTTCACAAGATCTTCACTTGTATATGATTGAAGTGATTCATAATAATGACAAAGAAACAGCAAGCCAGAAGCCCTAGAGTCCTGTAGTGGAGAATTTCCTCTCTAGCAAACACTTTGCTGTATTTCATTCTCCTATTCAAATTAAATGCAACATTCCAAACGCTTGGTGGCACTTCGGGTCTGAAGTATGTTGTAGTGTTCTCCTGTCAGCCAGGAAACTGAAATCTGTGAATGATTTCTAAATTGAATTCTGTGAGTAATTTCTAAAAGTTGAGGGAAAAGCATGTGAGTCTTGAGCTTAAAGTCTTTGACATAAAATTTTTTTTTGTGCTTTTGTGCATCTTCTTAATGATAATTCTTCATTGTAGCAGGAGTTTGTGAAAGTTTGGAGGCTTCTGGTGGGAACATTTGAAGCTGCTGGTATTTACGAATAGTGGGGTTGGGAATTGGCTTTGACTTTTCAGCACTAAAATAGAATTCTGTCTTTCTTGCTTTTGGATGGGAGGGTATGAAACTTCTGCAAATCACTTACATTTCTTCTTATAGCTCTCCTTAAACAATATGATGAAGTGTTAACTGTTAATCTGTCTTCATGATTTTAATAAAGGTTGTTTCCTCACAATTTTACCTTTTCTCCAGACTGTCAGATGATGCAGGGATTTTGGTGTTTTTTGTTTTGTTTTGTTTTTTTTTAATCCAAGAGTAATTCACATTTTGTAATGCCTTCTTTATTACTAGACTGGGACTGAATGCAGAAACCTTTACTTTAAAATGTTTTGTTCTTTAAATCTTAATCATACTTTGAAAATAACTTTTTTTTTCTCCTTAGCTGAGGACATCTTGGAAGAGTTACACCTAACCCTGTATTGTACGTGAAAGAATAGATTGTTAAGCTGAGCTATGTATAAGTTAGGGAGGAGGGTAGTTAGGGGGCCATTTATGTGGCTTCATAGTCTAGAGCTCTCTGGTGAAATCGCTCCTGATTCTCATATCAGTCTTTTTGCCGACTTTAACCACACTATTGGTAGGATGCAGAACACAAAAGGGAGATTCTTATGCTTATTTGAGTGCATGGTATGTTACTTGCAAATAGTCTATGGATTCCCTCCATGGAGCCATTGCTTGTGTAGACTGGTAGCAAAATATCTAAATAGTTTTCATAGAACCAGCTCATTTATAGATACTTTTCTATTTTAGTTGTTGTCCTGTACAATCACCTCGAAGTACTGGTGTGAGAATATGTCATTCTCCTTTGAACAGTTATTTTCAACTGATTTATGTCAGTGTCATAGTGCTATGGACCTACAGTGTAGCACCTGGAAATTCAGTGTGGTCCTCCTGAATTAAGCAGTCTTTGAGATACTTGGTAAATGCTGTTGAGACAGGAGGGGGAGGGAAGTAGTCACTAAATTAATTGCTTTTGTAACTTCCTACAAAACAAATCACTGGCTAGTATGCTGTTAATCTGGATATTTAGCACGTTGGCACTATGTGTATGAAATTTCAGGTGATGTAACATTGTTTTCAGGAGGACCCCTACTGAAGTAGCTTGTATATCTGCAAAACACAGTAATAAAAGAGAATAAAGAATTCTGAATACAGCATACAAAGTTGAAGTAAACAAGGCAAAATCCAGAACTGATTTGGATATTAAACTATAAATGTTTACTGCTGCTGACATAACATTATGATGCTTTTTAAAATCTGATAAATAAAAGTATTGTAAAAGTATTACGAAAGTATATCCTCAGAGCTTTGAAATACCATGGATAACTACCTCTGTCTTTGGGGTCTACTGAACAACATACCCATGTGAAGCAGCTGTTTCTGAACTGTATTCCAGTTATAATTGGAATTTATCTTTTCTGTGTTGTCTGGAAGCAATGTTTTAATTTGCAGTTCTTTCAACTGCACTACTAAGTTATTGCCAGTCTGTTGACCTAAAGGTAAATAAAACCTAAAGGTAAATCAAAATCCTGGTTATGAATGTGAGCTCGAGTTTTAGATAGAGTGTTCTTTTATGTTTTTGCATGTGTAACATGCTTCAGTGTTACTGTATTTTTAAATGAGCTATTGATATATCTTTAAAAAAGATAAAGATATGGAACAAGGATTTTGCTAAACTATAACTCTTCAAATGCCTTTAAAAAAGCCATCTGGTTTCATGGTGAGGATCCTACTTGAAAGCGTGACATTCAGCATTTTGACTAAAAGCAATTGTTTGCCCTGTTAAGGCAGGAAAGCAGGAATACTTCCAGTACACAGTTGTGTCAGTGAGCTGTTTTTGCACGGTAATACTGGGAAGTTATGGTTGGTGGAAGTTTTGTTTGGACCGAGGATCAGTAGGATGCACTTTGCTTATGTTCTCTGTGTGTTGGATGCCACCCAGTGGAATTTCTATTTTCTGTCTTATTTTTTAAAACAGTAACTTCCACAATGCTGCTTTAAAAGGTGTATTTTACAGATATAAAAAATGAACATTGAGAAAGTAAATTCATGCACAAGGGGACACATGAGGGTAGAGTGGGCGAAACAGCCTGAATTCAGGTATGCCCTAACATCCGAGGGGTTGACATTGCCACCTTAATTACTGACAGCATCTTGAAGTTTTCCAGTTATTTCACATTTTAGCTTTGAATAAAATGTTTCTGAGAACTTAAGGGAATTTTTGGTTTGAACTTGAAAATGTGTGTGTGTTTTGCACTCTTAATGCACAGGTAAATTAAAGATGAGTTTTTTTTCTGAAAGTATACTTGATCTCAGTAATTAATTTTTTTTATGGTAATTCCACTGTGTCAGTGTTTAATATTATTTTACTGAAAGCATTAAGAGCACCTGATTCCATCTTACTTGTCTTTTAACACGTTAAAGTAATTCTTTACCAGATACTTCTTGCTGTTAGCAGACCTTTCTTGTTTAGAAACATTGGTGGGAATGAACTGATGGTTTTGCATTGATGGCTAGTGCGAATTCAGACACCAGGTTTCACAAAGAAACACAGATGACTGTGGTGGTGGTAAACCACAGATTTTGTGGGGGGAAAAAAAAAATTAAAAATGCAGTATTTAAGAATTTTTAAACTTGCAGCTGTAGCCTGCTATTTGTTTTAATTTGGATGTTACTAGCTGTTTAGTATTTATACTCTGATATTTGGACCTCATATTTAAGTTTGTTTTGGCTTGTTTGTTTGGTCTTTTTTAGGTTAAAATGGGTTTACTGGTAGACTTGACCAACACCACTAGATTCTATGACAGAAATGATATCGAGAAAGAAGGGATTAAATATATAAAGCTCCAGTGTAAAGGGTGAGTTGTGAGCACTTTCTAAATATTTAGCTTTTAATTTGAAAGATCATGCTAAAGTAAATTTTTTTTTTTTTTTTTTCTCTTCCCTTTCCCCCAGCTGGCTCCTAATCTGTGTGTTCCTGTGTTTTTCAGGCATGGTGAGTGCCCTACACCTGAAAATACAGAAACATTTATTCGTGTATGTGAACACTTCAGTGATAAGAATCCCTCAGAGTTTATAGGTAAGTCTTCTTATATCCGTCTTATATCCATCATTAATTTTTACTGTTAATTTATTTCATACTCACTCATAACTGCAGTTTCTTGAAACTCTAAGCAAAGGAATTTGCTCAGTACAGTGTTCACGCATGTAGAGATTTGATGCTTTTGCTCCAGAAACTAGTATGTTTCTGCATCCATCAGTTTGATTACAGCTGTCAGCTTTATGTGGAAAAATACACAGGCTTAAGAACTGTCTACAAATACATGATAATTGCATTGTGTTTTTGTAACTTCTGCTGGTAGAAATGGAGGTTATGTATTGTCTAGATATTGTTTTGGCATATGATGGTCTGGCATATTTGAAGTTGTATTTGGTAACTGAATGATTATAGATTCTTTAGCAAATCTTACGAAGTGGCTGATCACATGACAAGACAGACATTGAGGTGCTGAAGCATGCTCAGAGAAGGGTAACAAAGCTGGTGAAGGCTCTGGAGCACAGATCTGGTGAGGAACGGCTGAAGGAATCGCAGTTGTTTAGTCTCGAGAAGAGAAGGCTCAGGGGAGACCTTACCACTCTCTACAACTACCTAAAAGGAGGATGGAGCAAGGTGGGGTCAGTCTCTTCTCCCAAGTTACAGGCATTAGGACAAGAGGAAACAACCTCAAGCTGCACCAGGGGAGGTTTAGATTGGATCTTAGGAAAAACGTCTTCACAGAGAGGGTGATCAGGCATTGGAACAGGCTGCCCAGGACAGGGGTGGAATCACCATCCCTGGAAGTGTTCAAAAACCATGTAGATGAGGCCCCAGTGACATAGTTTACTGATCAGGCCTGGGCTAATGGTTGGACTTGATCTTACAGGTCTTTTCCAACTTAATTGATCCGGTGATTATTTGCTAGAAACTGGTAGTAGATATTAGGCTTCATAGTGGGTGATGTTTTTTGTGGGTTTTTAGTGTTTTTTTTTTTTGTTTGTTTGTTTGGTTTGTTTGGTTTGTTTGGTTTGTTTTTTGGGTTTTGTTTTCTTTTTCTTTTTTTTTTGTGTACTGTTCCATGGTGAATATTTGAATGTTCCTAAGGATAATTTTTATTTTTTTCACCCAGAGAAAAGTAAGTTCTCAGTTTAATTTGGGTAGCTTTTAGGTTTAGTTAAAATGATTTTACTCTGTTTTCTGTTGAGCATATTAATGTCACACTACAAGACAGACATTGAGGTGCTGAAGCAATGCCAGCAAACTACCAGAGACAAGAAATTACTTTGCAGCTGAGTTTCTAGGGTCAGAATGGGCATTGTTCTCAAGCCTCTTTGATGATGATTCTGCAACCTTCCTGAATTTGAGCATGTGTGGGACTTAGGAGTGCATGGAACAGTTGTTTGTGTAGGTGTCATTGATAACAGCTTCGTAAACTAAGCTGGTACGTTCCTATAGTTCAGGATTCTTATGGAATCATGGAATTGTACAATAGTTGAGGTTGTTGGAAGGGACCTGGTGAAATCAGCTAGTCACTTGCCCTTAGAGCAGGGCCAGCTAAAGCAGTGTGCTCAGGACTGTGTGCATTTGGGTTTTGATCATATCCAAGCTTCAGTACCCCACAACATCTTCTGGCAACCTCTTCCAGTATTTGTTCACCCTTACAATGTACAAGGATTTTTTTCCTTATGTTTAAACAGAATTTATTGTGTTTCAATTTGTGCCTGTTGCTTCCTGCCCTGTCATAGGATACCACTGAAAATTATTATTATTTTTTTAAAATTTTCCCCAGTGCCTGAGAGATTTAATTTGGGCACACACTTTTTCACATCATTTTTTTTAAATGTTCTTTATTTCTTTATTTCACATAGGACACAATTTTGAGACCTATGTTTTCTTCTCCGAACTGTAATGCAAGTATGTGATCTGAAAAATGAGGAACTGCTAAATGTGAGTGAGGGGGATCAGTCATCAACAGTATTTCAGAGCTCACACCAGAACTTGAAATACTGTTGGATGACTGATCCCACTCACTCTCATTTAGCAGTTCCTCATTTTTCACTCTCCTTTCACAGTTCCTCCACTTTGTCCCCCAACAATATTTCAGAATTTGACATGTTATTATGGTCAGTAATTTGTATGGAGCATGGATAGCACAGTGGTGTCCTATAAATAGTAGACACATTTAATTGATATTTCAAACTTTAAAATGCCATTTTTAGTGTTGAGTCACTAACTTTTTGACTTCTATGCATTTTGGAATGTTCTTACATTATTTAGATTGTTTCACCTCTGTAGAAAAAAAAAAAGTAGAAAGAAAGAATCAAGGAGAAAATGATGAGGCTTAAAAGACTAAGCTTTTAGATAACCTGTGGTTTAGGCTTTCACAGTAAAAGAGAAATGATGGGATTTTCTATTTCCCTTTCATTAATAACTGAAAAGTTGGTTTTGGTTCTGGACACTTGTTTCCTCTGACAGAGCATCAGAAGGACTGGCATGGAAGATGTTTTTATCAAAAGTGAAAGCAGTCTGCAGCAGCGATAGTACTGCACCCTGTGTGATCTTCCCTTCCAAGCTGTTGGTCTTGTTGCTGATATGCTTCTTATCTTTTGTCTGTGCATAAAATTATTGACTTAACCTTCTTGGTAGCAGTAACAGTTGCAGGACTTATTGATAACAGTTGTGTGCAATTTCATTTCCAGTGTTAAGATTAGCTATGAAAAGAAATTGAAATGTGAATGATAGCTGAACAAAATTTTCTGTTCAGCTAAAACAGTATAGGGTGGAAACGTCATTTTCGCACCTTGAAGGACTGGAGCATGCCTGCCAACCTTAAGGAAACAAAATGCAAAAATCTTGCTTAAGCAGAACACAAAGGAGAAATGTTTTCTGGGAATAAATTCTATAAAGAAGCTAAAATTCACTTTGCTTGATTCAAGTTACACTGTTTTAAATATTATTAAATGATTAGAATGGAGGCATACGAGAAATTTGTTAGGGTTTTCACCTTGCTTTCGTAAGAAGGCAAGTTTGGTGGGGCTGTCACAAAACTTTGTGACAGCCTCACCAAACTCAACCCTGACACAGTTCATATGTGTTTCTGTTTATGCAGATAAAGTTTCTGGGTTTTATCAGTCTACTCTTCATAGGCATTTTTTGGATCTCCAGTAAAAACAAAGGAAATACTTGCAGTGTAGGGGAGCATACAGAAAAAAAGAAAGATACTAGCATTTTGTCTGAATAAGTATTACATGAATTGCTGCTCAACTTACTTTATTAACTATGGTAGAGAAATAGTACTAGCTTAAGTGACTTGCTTCATGGTGTTGGGTCCTGCTCTTGGATCACAACAACTTCATGCAACAACGCTACAGGCTTGGGGAAGAGTGGTTGGAAAGCTGCAGGGTGGGAAAGGACCTACCTGGGTGTGCTGATTGAAGACTGCTGAACATGATCCAGCTTGTGCCCAGGCGGCCAAGAAGGCCAACAGCGTCCTGGCCTGTATGAGAAATAGTGTGGCCAGCAGGGCCAGGGCAGTGATTGTCCCCCTGTGCTCAGCACTGGTGAGGCTGCACCTCAAATCCTGTGTTCAGTTCTGGGCCCTTGCTGCAGGAGAGACATTGAGGTGCTGGAGTGTGTCCAGAGAAGGGCAGTGGAGCTAGTGAAGGTTCGGGAGCACAGGTCTGATGAGGAGCAGCTGAGGGAACTGGGGTTGATCAGCCTGGAGAAAAGGAGGCTCAGGGGAGACCTTATTGCTCTCTACAACTACCTGAAAGGAGGATGGAGCGAGGTGGGTGTCTGTCTGTTCTCCCAGGAAACAACTGATAGGACAAGAGGTAACTGTGTCAAGTTGTGCCAGGGGAGGTTTGGATTGGAAATTAGGAAAAATGTCTTCACTGAAAGGGTTGTCAGGCATTGGAACAGGCTGCCCAGGGGTGTGGTGGAGTCATCATGCCTGGAGGTATTTAAAAGGTGTGTAGATGAGGCTCTTAGTGGTCATATGGTTTAGTGATGGACTTGGTGTTGTTGGACTTGATCTTACAGGTCCTTTCCAACCTGAACGATTCTATGGTCTCAACTGAAAAATATGTGAATGTTAAGAATGACTGTGTTAGGTGTTAGTGGAACCTTTGATATTTGTAATTTAAAACACAGTAGAAGGAAGAGGCAACATCTTGCTGGAATCCTTCACGACGTTTTTAATAGCACGGATTTTTAGGCTGGCTTGTTTATCACTAGATGGTGCTGTTGCCTTGAGAGAAAAAAAGAGTTCCAATGCATTTGACTCTTCCCCTCCTTTCACTGGGGGATGAATTCAATAAAATAGAGACTGAAGACTTAATTCTTCTATTCTGACATTGAAAAGATAAGTAATCCAAGGTTATTATACTGTTGCATATTTTTCTTTTTTATTTATTTATTTTTTCCCAAATGAGTAAGTCTGGTCTTAGCGTGGTTATAGAAATTTTGAAGTAGATCTGTGGTCTACTGACACCTCTTTCAGGATTGCAATAGGGTAATCTGGATATGGTTTTTATTGCCTGATGGTGTGAAATGAATGTAATGTTTGTTGAATTCACTAAAAGCACAATTACTGAATTTGATGGCATTGTCTTCTGGTAAGCATTTGAAACTTATCTGTATTAGCCATATTTGAGTTGCAGTAAACTGAACTATCCTATACTTTTGTAAACTGAAGTATCCTATACTCTTGTTGCTAATAGTTTTCAGAATGAATGTAACAAATGGCTTTTAGGCTTATGTGCCTTACGTGATCTGGGCTGCCTTGATGGAAAGGTACATAAGTCTTTAGTGTTACTGATGAAGGTAGAAAGATCCAAAAACACACCTGTGAAACTAAAGCATGCAGGGAAATCGTGACATAATTGTCATCACAGAAATGTGGTGGAATGATTAACATGATTGGAGTGCTGCAGTGGATGACTACAGGCTCTTCAGAAAGGATAGGCAAGGAAAGAGCTGGTGGGGTTGCATTGTATGTCAGGGAGTGCATCGACTGCCTTCAACTCAGTGTTGTGAGTGGGAAGGATGAATGTTTGTGGCTGAAGATCAGGGGGAAGGCCAACCCAAGCAGATATCCTGGTAGGAGTCTGTTATAGACGCCCCAGCCAGGATGAAGCTATAGTGTTCTTCAGACAACCGGGAGAAGTTTCACAATCATTTGCCCTTGTTCTCTTGGGGGACTTTAACCTACCAGATGTCTGCTGGAAGTACAACACAGCAGAGAAGAAACAATCCAGGAGGTTCTTGGAGGGTATGGAAGCTAAATTCCTAACCCAGCTGTTTAGTGAGCCAACTAGCGGAGATGCCTGGCTAGATTTACTTTTCACAAACAGAGAAGAACTGGTGGGTGATGTGATGGTTGGAGGCTGTCTTGGGCAAAGCGATCACAAAATGATTGAATTTTCAATCCTTGAAAAAGTCAGGAAGAAGGTCAGCAAAACATTCACCTTAGACAAAACCTGAGGATAATAAAGTACTTGAACAGGCTGCTCAGGGAAGTGGTGGAATCACTGTCCCTGGCAGTGTTCAGAAACTGTAGCTGAGGCCCTCGGTGACATGGTTTAGTGGTGGCCTTGGCAGTCCTGGGGTAACAGTTGAACAGATCTTACAGGTCTTTTCCAACCTAGTTGATTCTATGATTCTATTATTTCATGTTTGTTAAAACTACATGTGAATGATTATACTCTTGTCTTGTCTTGCCTAGGTGTCCATTGCACACATGGTTTCAATAGAACCGGATTTCTGATCTGTGCCTTTTTGGTCGAGAAGTTGGACTGGAGGTAACTTTGAATGTTAGTTCCTAGGCATTTGTGAAAGTTACCAAAGGCATCTTCAGTATGTTTCAGTCATTGTTCTGACAGCTCTCCTAATGTATTCAGTGTTTGTTATTTCAAAACTGCCTACTAATCTTGAGCAAAGAATCTATGTTAACATTATTTATATCATGCCTTGGTAGCTTAGCATGTTTCAGTTGAGCTTTCCAGGTCCAGTAGGTCAAGAGTCAGCTGTACCTGCTGTGGGTGGGCTTTTAGGAGTGTATACATTGTACTGTACACATGTCCCCTGTGATGCATCCCAAATTTTGAATAAGTGTCCTGGGTTCAGCTACAGCAGGGGGGGTCAATGGGGGGTAATGGGGGGAGGAAGGAAAAGGGGGGGAGTGAGCGAGCGGCTGCGTGGTTCCAAGTTGCCGGCTGGGCTTAAACCACGACAATAAGAATGTAGAGTTTCAGAGATGTCTGAAAGATTATTTCTCTTACTTTTTAATCTTTTTCCATGGAGGTTTGCATGGAGGCTTTTTGGGGTTTTTTGAGTTCTAAAGAGCAGACATTACCTAGAAAAACAGCAGTGACGTACTTGCTCCTGAACAGTCAAGGGGGAGACAAAGTCTTTGTTTCCAGCTTGTTTTTGACTGAAGTCTACAGCATGCTTCTATACAGACTTACCAGGGTTGTTTTTTGTATGTTTTTATAATTTAAAAATTAGTGCCTTCATAAAGAGTAGTGGTATTTTCCAAATAACATTAGTGTTAGAAACCCCATGCCTGTACCATGGTGGTGGGTATGACTTTTGCATGTTTGAGAGCACTCACAAAATACTATTTCCTTGCTGACTGGGTCCCATGCAGTGCCAGTTTCTTAACAAACCCCTTAAGCATTCTGATATTTCTTCTGTGGTCCTTCAAGTGAAGAAGATTCTGCTTCTGTTGCAGCATTTTCTTATGACCGGACATACATTTCTTTGGTGCTGAGCATGTATGTGCAAGCTGTTTGCAAAGAACTAGGTCATTGTTGTCTGTTAGTAAACTTGGAATAAAGACATTGCAGTAATGGAGACAGAACACCATTAGTAGTGGGTGGCTGAATCTCGGCAGGATCTTAGCTGAGTATAGGAAGTAGGCACAGATACAGACATCTCTTATAGTATGATTCTGGTTGTTCCTATGAACTAGAAAATTTGTATACTTTTAATCTAACAATTTAAAAGCAGCGTGCAATAGTTAGACTCAGAATTGGTCCTTTGTTCTGAAGAGGAAATGCACTTGAATCTATTTGAATCTCATGCTTTTATGCAGCCTCTCTTTATTTTCAAACCTCTGTGGGAAAAGCCTTGAAACTTAATAGCCATGTCTTTTTTTTTTTTTTTTTTCCTTTTCTTTTCTTCATTGAGGTAGTTAATTGTATCAAGTTGTTTCATCTCTGTGAGATTTTGTTAATAGAGCACCCAGATACCACTTGTTTGGGAAAAATGTCCACAGCAAAAGAATGAACTTTGGCAAGGTGGTGGTTAATGCTAAGCATTGTATCAAGATAAATCCAATTTGCTGTATCATTCTTTAAAATAAGGCACTGTTGTTTGCTGATGAGGAAATAAGATTTTCCTGATGGAAAAATCCGTCCATATTCATTCCTTAAGCATATGATGTAGGAGTGCTGCTGATGTATCGTGAATACTGAGACGTATTTTACAGTTAGTTTAAAGAAAGGTCATCCAGACTGAAAGCTCTCCAGCTAGTGAATAGAAACCTTACTTGATTCTCCTTTTCACAACTCATTTTCTCAAAGACTGCTGTGTTTCTAGAGCTTGCAAAATGTTTTCTTCCAGCTAGGTTTCTGTGCCTGAAGTCTGCGCTGCCTCTTTTGGCTTTGATTGCCATCTATTCCAATATAGCATAGAGTTCTAATATCATCAGAGACCAATTTGAGTGACTTTCAGGCCTCATCATAAATTGTATGCCCAGTGTTTTCTGTTAAACATTTTCTTAGGATTGGCCCTTGTGCTGTGCTCGCTTTCCTGTTGGCTCGTGAAAGTGCATGACTAGCTTCTATTTCTTTTGTGATCCAGTGTCCAGTTTCTTAAAGCACTGAAGAGTATTAGCTACATAGTAGAAGTTTTCTGAATGACAGATTTCTTTCTCTTTTCTATGTATTTTTTTTTTTTTTTTAAATGAGAAACTTCTGGAAAGAGTAGTAATTTGAAAAGATTAGGGCATTTTTTTCCAGTGTGATGGCAAAACCTCTAATGAAAGGAAAGATAATTCTTAGAGGAGAAAAAAATGTAGTCGTAATTGAATTTCAAAGCTTGCATTTTCCTTCATAAAGTTTGTTCATCTTTTTCTTTACTCTTTTTTGTCTTCATTCAGTCCTTAAGTACTTATCTATGTGTCATCCATTCCTTTCTGTACCAATAATAAGATTTTTAATTAGGTCACCAGCACAATACAATTAGCTACAATAAGGAAACGAAGCAGTGCAAGCTGCAGTTACTTCTGAGAACATATGTAGTGCATGCAAAATCTTGTGCAAGTGCAACTGTTGCCAGACTAATCTAAGCATGATATTTCAAAAGTAATGAATGTTCTTGCAATTACCGGTTTGGAGTTTGTTGTAATTCTCAGTCCAATAAATCTTAATGTTTGGTAAGGCATAACATGACTAAAACATGTAAATTAACCATCCAGAGTAATTTTCAATTTTTATTTGACAGTATTGAGGCTGCTGTGGCTACTTTTGCTCAGGCTAGACCGCCAGGTATTTATAAAGGGGACTATTTGAAGGAATTATTTCGTCGTTATGGAGATGAAGATGATGCACCATCACCACCTGAGCTACCAGAATGGTGCTTTGCTGATGATGATGAAGAGGAGGATGATGATAATGGTAAAACAGGAGGCCAAGAATCAGAACCTGGATCATCAAGCTCTTCCTTTGGCAAGAGGAGGAAAGAACGCCTAAAACTGGTATTTTTGATTAAGAACTTAATATTCTAAAAGCTAAACTTAATTTCATAAACTCATAGTTATCATTTACTACATAATACATGCTATACAAGTGTCAGTGCTATTGCAAATGAGGACTGGTAGTATTGTCTCTAACCAGAAAAATCTGCTAGATTAATTGTAAGATTTCCTGTGTTTCCTGTATGAAACTTAAACATTCAACACCTCAGCTATTTCAGTTGTAAAAATAACTTAAAATTTTTGTAAAGTAACAATTTCTTTAAAAGTTAGAGTTGGGATAGTAAAGCACTTTTTAATTATTTACTCTTGTCTTTAGAGGTGAAATGTTATGGGGGAGTAGAGTGTGTAAATAGTTTTTAGTTATTTTTTTGTAGCCATGTGGATGAAATTCAGAGTCTTTAAAATTCAGTGCTCATTCTGGTAACTATTCTTACTTTTGGAAATATTGGAAGATGGAGAATAGGATCAGCAAAAAGCAAGAAGAGTTTAAAACCCCCAAGGCAGCTTTGAAATTATATTTCTTTCAAAGCTGTTTTAACTGTATAATGATAACAAATGTGGCTGATCACTTATTATGATTGTTTTGACATACATCTGCATAATTCTGAATTGAGTTACTGTAGTTACCATAATACAGAACTAATACTCAAGTACAAAGAATACACTTGTGTCATCTGAAGACTAATGGCTCAGTTCTCTCCAAATTCCTGACTCTTTATTTTTATTTTTTTATTTATTTTTTTTTAATTTGCAGGTAAAGTAGGGGAAAATGTTGCTGAGTGCAAAAATACAATCAGTTCTTTTTGCGTAACACTGACTTATTGAGTGCTGAGGTGTGTTTGTTTGCAAGCACTTAAAAATCCTCATATGAAATATGCTGCAGAAATGCACTTTGTTGTTACAGCAGCTGCTCAACATTGTTTACAGATGGAAGAAAATAGCCTGAAAGGAATACAAAATGTAGTCCACAGAAGCAAAATGAACTTTGAAAACTTTCAAGTAGTTCATCAGCTGGAATAAAAAATTGCCTACACTGTGAAAAGCCATAGTAAAAATATATTCAGGGATATAGCAACAATCTCCATTAGCCTTGCAATAGAACACTTCTATCTAAAAAAATTACTTGGTCTGGAATCTCAAAACTTTTATTTATTTTTTTTTTTTACTTGCCTCTTGATGTATTAGTAAATGAGGTGTGATGGTGAGGTCCCCTGATAGCCTCTTTTGAGGAAGTACAAAACTAAACCAGTCTGTTTAACAGGAGTCATGATACTGGCTTCCTAGGCTTTTTCTTATCTGCCACCATAGGTTTTTTGGAAAGCTGGAAGCTAAATTATACGAATAAGCATATTAATAATGAAAAGTTAATTAAGAGTTAGAGAATTTATGAAAGAAAGAATCATCTAGTTAATATGCATATTCGTATAATTCAGTTTTGCAGCTCTGGAGGAACATTCTTTGACACGAAGAGGAAGAACGGGGAGAATTCTTTACCATGGTTCTTGGCTGGCAGATTGGACTGCTTCTTAACTCAGTAGAGATGGATACAGTCTATTTGTGGTTCCTTGTAAATCTAAAGGGAGAATGATTATCAGGTAAATACCTCTTGCTCAGATTTTCTTATTTTACTTTCTAAAGGGCTAAATTTTCAGTATTATATTGATTTCCTGCAGCAGATGTTTTCGGCCTTCTAATTTGACTCTTCCTCTAAACACCTAGGGGTAGACAGTGTCAAACTAGATGTGGCTGTGGTGATAGTGATGTTCTGAAAAAATTTTCTTTTTGACCCAAATCTTTGTGGGGACAGAAGAGTTCTTAAGTTTAGGGTTAGAGGAGGAGACAATAAACAACTGCCCAGCTATCCTGCAAAGTGAAGTTAGCATGCCGTCCACCTCAGAAATTCCATCTTGGATGAAAGGAACTTTACTTCAGCATGTTTCATTAAAACTACCATATTTTGACATCAAGAAGTCTTGATGGCCTTTCTTTTCTATGCTACAGAAACTGTGGGAACTGTTAGAACATAATGTCATTACAGTTTCCTTTGTCATCACCCAAATGTAGTTGACAAGTAACAGCAAATCTGTTTGCTGTAGTCTCAGTTGCTACACAGAAAATGCAAACATGTTTTGACTTTGTCAGTGCATGCCATAATAATTGTAGCATTGAAGCATCACTGTTAACTGACACTTAGAATCTCACCTCAGGAAAAAAAATCTTCAGGAAAAAACCCCTTGGTTTTGTGAATAGCACAAGAAGTTACAATTCTGAGCCAGAACCTTCAAACTTTTCGTGGGTCAGCTGGATCTTTGCCAGAGGTTAACCCCTATTCTTCTTCCCATGGGCATCTTGACAGATACAGGAAAAAATTGTTTTCTGGTTTTGCAGCAGCATTTTATGTACTTGAATACATAAATATGGGTGTCATTTCTTTTTTAGCCTTCTGTTTTTCCACATTAGATGCCAATGCACTGTACCATCCAAAGGAAGAAAATTAACTCTATCCCAGCTGAAACTAGGACGTAACTTTTTCCTGTAGTGCATATTTTTTATACTGCTGACCATTCTTATTATTCTTTGTATTCTGTCACGTTGACTCACATTTCTCTGAGATAATGGTGCCTGTAATTGAACACAAGCCTCTAGTTGAGGCCATCCTAGTGCTTAATAGGGGGGAATTAATTTTGCATGTCTTAAGGCTAATACTTCTGTTTATATATCTTAATTTAATTGCCTTTTACAAAACAGAATAATACTAATTGAGCTTTTGGTCTCTTGCTGCCTCCATATCTTTTTCTCTAATTATCTACCAGTGTGTGTTTGTATAATTGCTTATTCTTTATTAAGTGTAGAACTTTGTTTATACTGAATTGCACAGTGTTTTTTCCAGCCTGTTCTTAAAATTAAGGATAACACTGAATTCTTAAGCTACCAGAACAGTCTGTTACTAAATTCACAGATGTAATAAAAATAAGAATATGCTAATAGGAAATGTAGGAAAAATAAATTAGTTCTTTTATACCTAAAACAGACCCCACAGATCCTTCTCAATACATTCTTCCATTTTGTTAGTGAAACAGTAATTCCTCTGAATCTGGTTTTCAGACAGGTTGCTCTTCTGTTTTATAGAAATTATATCTACCTCATGTTTTCTGAGTTCTGTTACGAGAACAAGACAAGCAAACAAAACCAAGCAAGCATCAAAAGATGTGATATTTCCTGCTTCTTCCAATTCTGTGAAGCCTGTTTCTTCACCAAAACCAAATGATTAGTTGAGTACCATTGTTACTGAGTGACAGCCAGTATGGTTCTGTTGCATCATTTTTACTTGTAAATGCCTAGAGGCAGTTCTTGTGATTTGGTCTTGTATTTCTAAGTGTTAAATCTAAACTGTTCAGTGTAACTCCCTGGCTTTCCCTTCTTCTCTTTTAGAAAATGCAGGCTCTTTCTCTTCCTGACATTCTTTGGAATGTTTCTTGTCCTCTCTGAAACAGTCTCTGAGTATACTGGCACTCGGTCAAATCTGAGTGGCTGAAGGTGGCTATTGCCCAGGTCTGATGATGGCCGCTAGGGTCAGGGACGTGTGTGCTTGGGGCTATTCCCACTCAACCACTCCTCCAGGTGGTGTTTAGGATCTTCCCAACACATTGCCACATCTTCAGCTAAAGTGACAGGTGGAGGGATACAGATCAAGGAGAACTTGATCGGTGCAGATGGTGTTGAGGTTGCACAGGGTGTAGATACTAAGTGCACGTAGGTTACCTCGGATCCATTAGAGTTTAGTACTTTTGGTTTAATAGCAGTGCTGAGAAACTGAGGTGCTGCTGCTGAGCTGAGTGCTCTGGCAACTTTGCACTGTGTTCTCCCCTGTCCTGTTTCCACTGGGGCTGTTAGCTCACTGTGGTGCAGAAAGTGGATGAATCTGGCTCAGTTCTGGCACCTTATCCAAGGAAATGTCCTCCTGAAACCTGGAGCGCTGGGTTAGCTAAGCATGGATGCCCAAGTGACACACCTGTTTTTGTAGTGCTTTGCCTTAGCTAAGTGAGTATACTTGAGCAAATAATCTGCAAGAGACACTTGAAATGGCAGGCAGCAATTTAATGTTTGTGACTTTTTCTTTTCTGGAAAATCTTTCCTGTTGCCTGCCTTTTGCTTTAATCTTAGCAGTTGTACTGCCCTCACACTCTGCCATTAGTCTGAGAAGCAAGGCATGACTGTCTTCCTTTATTTTGTGGTGCTTTTAACCACTTACTTGGAATTCAGACGGTGTGCTGGCCAGCCATATATAGCTGTCTGCCTCCCTCACCCAGTCACTTGTGTGCTGTTGCACCTGCTGGTGCCTGCATCAGTTATATGGGATAAGTGATGGGCCGAAAGTCTGTGGAGCTTAAGGTAATTATGGTTAAGAACTAGTGTATTTCTTTAGGACATACTATTCACAGAATACGATTTGGTGATAATGATACAACTGAGCCAATCTTAACTAAATGCAGGTTGTACTGAAGGCTGTCTTGCCTTCCCTCCATGCTCCTTCTGCTTCCCTTGTGCTGGCACTAGTGCTGACTTATCCTACGGTGAGCTAGTTTAGGATATAGATTTGGCAGAAAATTGCTAGTTTATAATGTTATTTTTGCCAACTTAGTTCCTAGACTTGCTCAAGAGCAGAGCACAAATGAGTGCCATGGCATGTGGAAAGAAAAGGAAGCAGAAATGCTCCTTTCTTCAGTAGTAGGCAGCTAGATTTGGTAATGCAAGTTTCAAGCATTTTAGAGAACAGATAAGAAATATTTGTATCTTCATGTGCAGGATTCATAGCTCAAAGGTGAAATGCCATGCTTCGATCATCTTAGTCTGCATTGAGAATTTGAGATGTTGTTGAAATGTGATTGATTTGGGATCTGTATAGAAATCTTTAATTATGCAGTTTTGTAAACCTGGTGGCTTTAATATGTTCTGTTGTGCAGAATTTGTTTTATTCCACTCAGCATCCATTTTTTTCTGGAATATGCAAGTAATTTAGAGTTTTATTTTCAGTGTTGTTGATCTGTGCATTGGCTTTTCTGTGACATTCAGGAGAGCACCTCCACTTTAGTAATCTGGTTTATATTGAGAATAAAATCATGCAAGCATATTTTTACACAACTGTTTTGTTACAAACCAGTGGTTTATGTTTTCTCATTTGTTAAGAAGTTCGGCTTAGATCAACTGAGAATACTTTTAAGTTTGCTGCTATATGAACACTCATTCTT